TTTATAGGGCATTTTTGGCCTTCAGGAGAATTGACAAAACTCCGTCCCAGTACAAGGTATAGAGCTCGGACTGGTTTCAAAATATCGATTTAAAACTATTATAGATTTTCAGAAGGAGTTAATAAAATCATTACCTATTAATAATAATTTTTTACGTCATCTTCAATGTCTTGATCCTCTAATGAGAAAAGAATCTTCTCGCACTAGTATTATGTACCCAGCTCGAAACGTTCCACATTTTTTAAATAACGAGAAGGTGGATTTAGTTGGTGCTGAATGGCGAGTTTACGAGTTGGCTGATATACCTGAAGAATGGTATAAAAAAGATACAATGTCTTCAAATGATGTTATGGAATATGTACCTATTGATAAGTATTGGCATCAAGTCTTATCTAGTGTTACATCGATTGGTACACCACAATATGTGGCATTAGCTAAACTTGTTAAATGTTTATTATCTTTATCTCATGGAAATAGTGATGTCGAAAGGGGTTTTCCCCAAAATAATCATCTTGTTACAGATGAGCGTTCATCATTAAATGAAGCATCTATCAATGGTCTACGAGCTACAAATGCTGGTATTAAATTCTTTGGTGATAGCAAAGTTCACATGGTGAGTATTTACCAATTTTTTTTCTAATGTTTTTAGTTTCTCTCTTTAAGGTACCGACAACTAAAAGTTTACTGTCCAGTGTTCAAAAATCTTATTCACGGTACGCGAAAGATAATGACCGACAACAGAAACTAGTGAAGAATGTTGATGCTGTCAATGTAAAACGAACTATTGATACTGAACAAGAACAATTAGAAGAAAAAGAAATTCAGCTGCTCAACGAACAAAAGTAATTGCAAGAAGATTTGGCTAAAGCAACTAATTTGCTAGAAGAAGGGAGCAAAAGACTTGTTGCAGCTATCAACAATAAGACATTTGATGATTTTAGTACAGCTGAAGTACTTGTAACAGCTGCTAATACAAAACTTGCTGCTTTAAAAAATCAATTAATTGTAAATAGTGAAAATTTGAACCGATTAAGAAAAAAACAGAAAAAATGAAATTATTTATGATTTAAATAAACATAATTTTAACACTACATTTCTTTTTCGTAAAACTTATCAGATAAGTACATCTATATAAACCTTGAAATATTGAGCATAACAAAAGAAAATGTGAAAGTCATTTATATTTAGGCCTATAGGTAAAAAATCATAAAATATCAGGACAAAATCAGGATTTTTCGTTAAAATCAGGAAAATCAGGACATCAAAAATAAATCAGGAAAAAATCAGGAAAGCAGTACTGCTGCGAGGCCTGATATTCATGCATTAAATGACATAGGTGAATATAGGGTTAAAGGTCGTTCTAAACAGTTATATTTCATATGAACATTATTCCATGGAGGAAGTTGTTTAATTTAATTTGAAAGCATAATAATAATTAAAAAAAATCTTCTCAGTGTGATTCATCAATGATACAATACTCTGACTTAGAGTTATTTAGAATAAAATGTTTGATTTGAAGAAGGTTATGGAATAAGACGTTTGCGCTAAATGCGGCTAGTGTCGTGGTGACTAGTTGTTTCTTATATGATCTTGATTTTCTAGAGAACCTGTGATTGTTGATACTTCAATATAACGAACATAGACAAATAGGATATTGATTTGATAGATTCCCTAGACATGGGATTTTGCCGGTTTTACTGTAGATTGATTACTATACAGTAGAGGTGCTCTTGGTACTTTTTTAAAAATCTTTCATTTAGTAGACTATCTTTGATGACTTGCCGATTGTCATGGTAGAATATGATGTTGATAAAATAAGTACATTGAACTTACTGATGATGGTATTCTTCTATTTTCTTGATGCTTTTATATGACTCTATTTTTCTTTATCTTTGATTTTTATGTATCAAGAGTAGACGAACAAATTCATACATCAAGTTGACCGTGAATGATAGTAATGCATTTGTAAAGTGATCATGAAAGATCTTCTTTAATTTGTAGCTTAGTAGCGAAAGAAAAAAAGAGTCAACGAACATGTCCTAAACAAAATCAATGGATATTTCTTTTTGAACTCTGTTCTCTCTAATGATTAATGGTCTTGATCACATAGTGAGTCACACTGATGAATAATACTTTGTTAATGATAATCACTGATCATTTGTTATGTGAATTTGAGAAAGAACATATCTTCCATTTCTCTCTTTTGATGATAACAGTATCAATGAATAGAAAAGTTGGAGCGCAAGTGACTTGCCAAGTTTTTAAAATTCCTTAGTGTTCTAATCTTCTGCGAATACATTAATCTGTCAAACAGTTCCAACTATCATTCATCGTATATGAATGGAATCTTTGGCAAATGATATTTTATATGAAATGAGATTTTACAGGTTGAGATGCAACGCGGACACTTTAGTTCAAATAGAGTAAGATAAATAAGTTGTTAATGTTAGGTATTCATTGGTCATATTACGTTTGATCTAAATCGAAATCACTAATCTTCATTTCACAATGGAACTAATTACTAGACAGAACAGTCGTGAGAGAAAAAAAAATTCAGTTGATCCTCTATTGGCCTAATAGTACATCGTTTTATGCATGGATCACCCAAAAAATACATGAATGAAACTGATTTTGTCTTGATTTCATTTATTGTATGCTCTCCAATCAAGAGATTTATGCACGAGTTTTAATTTTCGCGTGGAAAATGAAGATAAAACATTTATGAATAAAGCTATAGCAAGCGTTTCAAACGTTCTCATAATTCAATACTTATGTCATATAAAATAAGACAAATTCAGTATGCGTACTGCGGCTCAAAAATGATACTATAAATGAATAAAAGTTTCATTAGAATGATTCGTTGGAACTGTAATAGTAAGTTAGTTAAAAGTCGTTCAATATTGTCTCACACTAATATAAATACATGAACATAATGTTGATCAAAGTCGTTCATGTGACATCTGTAGCATGAACTAGTGCTTGTAGAAAGATGTTGTATGAATGTTAGTGTGATAATCGAATGAATAACTAATGCTACATATACTTCAAAACAATTCATCAATGGCAACATCATCATTTGATTCCTACTCTTCATCGCAAATAAATAACTATTTATCTGCTCAATAGTTCGATTCGAGCATTTCAAAAGAAATAGCAAATATACTTAGGACTCCTGTTTTCAGTCATTTTAAGTCCATTCAAATGAAGTGCACCCGTTATATATTCATTCGAATGTAGAAACCTAACATTTCGTCTGTATTGCGTCAAAATAACTATGGGTATATCTGTATCACCACACATTCTCAGGAATATCCTTTACGTTATCAATCAAATGAAAAAAAGAAAAATATATGTCACTTCTATAAGAAACTTCAGGCATAATATGGGCATTGATCTTATGTGTTCTTGTACCCCTGTGATCTTACGCTCACAAGTATTACTTCATATTGCAATGGGGCATGGCTAGAAAACGTTTGTGCCAGTTCTGTAGATAAATCTTATCCGGTTTTCAAGAGAAAATCAGCCACATAATACTGATGTTTTCGTTTTGACCATTAATAGCGCATCCTCCTAATCTGTAAAGTATTGCTATCAACAATCTATTGTTGAATCTGAGTTCATCTCATAGAAATCCCATCTGAATATGAACATTCGTAATGGTGTTATGGTCATTGGTGATATTAAAACGTTCTCTAACAGAGGTATAGGTGTGGGTCGATTTAGGGATGCAACGATGACGGTTAATCGTCACCGTTCCAACCGTAACTATTGAGGAAGCAATGAAACGGTTCCCGGTCGAACCGGTTGACCGCTGAAACGGGCCCGATTGAAACGGTGCAGCTCCCATTTCGAACACGTACGGCGGGAAACGGCAGAAATGCACGGGAAATCAACGGAACATGGAAACAGTATTCCGGTCGGAAAAGTTTTGGATTTTTTCCCGATGATTCCTGGCCGGTTCTCACAGGAAAGTACAGGAATCACCTGGAATTCATCGGAGAAAAGTCCGAGAATTTTCCTGTCGGAATACTGCTTCCACTTTCCGTTGATTTCCAGTAATTTCCCATATGAACCAGCACTTTTTCCGGGTTTTTCCTGCCGGTTCCTACCGTATCCGGTGACCAGAATCTTCGAACTGGGCTAGTGAAACTATGAAAAACCTGCGGTGAAGGCGGGCGCATTGGCACTGTTGGATCATATTAGTAGAGATACGTCTAAATAATAGAAGGAACCGGCCGTCACCGTAGGTTTTCGTAGTCTCATCGTTTCAGCTGGGGTCCGTTTCACTGGTTCATCGTTTTACCGCTTCCTCGATAAGGTTGGTTTGAATGGTGATGATTAATAGTCACCGTTACATCCCTAACCGCACCTATACCAACATCCGACATCCCCACCCATACTCTCAAGTGAAGCTTATGTCCGCAGGGCGTCATCTCCTAATTCGAATGTGTTTTCGAATGAATAATATTGAGTGATTTTTGCATAATCTATATTCATTCATGTTCGCTGACTTGAACTTGATTTTAATGGATTTATGGATATCAGACGGAGTTACTTTTCTGATCATGCAGAAGACTTCTATCAATAAAAATCTTCTAGTTGACAAGTGAATCAAATATACACGGTTGACTTATTTCACAATCAAGTAGCGTAAACAACATCATTGATTATATGTATAGCAAAGCAGCTACTATTCTTTAGTGTAACTACTTTGAAACAGGCAAAACGAAAATCGATGCACCATATGTAATTTATCTGTAAGCCACGTGAGACCGTTCGCATAGAGTCTGTTTTCTTTTTTTGTCGAACTACATTACATCACTCAGACTATTTCCAATAGTGTGTTGACAGAAGGATCGAAGGAAAAGCCAACTATGCTGAAATCCATCCGTTTTCATTGCAGGTATAAACTCAAAGGAAAAGAATAAAATGCGCATGCAAACAAAAAATGACTTCAAATTATCTTATTATTGTCATTCACAACCTCTTATTGAATATCAATGCAGACAGCCTATAGAGACAGACCAATGTTCAATCTGTCAGATGAATGCAGGATGTTGTATGTTTGGTGGATGCAGAACCTACTTTTGTATTACACATTTCGAACAACATCGCCAACAACTGTCAATAAGATTCGATAGTGAAATTATAAAGATTCATGAGAAACTTCTTGAACAAATAAACCGAGTATATCAATCGAGTAGCACTGGTTCACAAGTTTTCAATGAAATGGATCGATGGAAAACTGAGACACATGAAAGATCCCCTCGTCAACTTACCCATCTGCTCAGTGCAGAGGAAAACATGTTGAAAAAAGAGTTTGAGATAGTGACAAAGGAAACTCATGATCGACGAAAAGAAATGGATTTTGACGAAAATATCATTGAGCAACTTAAAAAGAAGTTAAACCAGGTTCAAATATTAGTAAATCGGCTCGCTCGATCCACAGAAGCAGCACCAACCATGGGGATCAATGATAGAATTGATTGTAATCGGCCTATCTATGTCGAGAATAAACATAACAGTAGAAAAATGCGAGGTGGGTTTTTTCTGATAGCTTGATCCTAACTTACAAACATTTTTTTTCTAACTACTTACCCTAACCTACTACGTATCTAGCAAAAGTTGTTTCCAGTCTTTACTTTTGTTTACCCTATGTAATCTCTGTAGATCAATCTTATCTCATGATGA